GAAGGAAGCTCCCAATGCATGATCTGGATTTTTTTTGGAAACGGAAACGAGACTTAAATTGGCAAAATTACCTGACATTTGTTCGTGCTACAATGCGACAGTAAACACGGGTCTTAATCAACATATCCCGGTTAAACCAAAGATGGATATTAAATGTTATTATTATTATTATATTATTATTATACATGTAACATCACGAAGCCCCCATTGTAATGTACCGCGTTACTCTTTTATGGATAATACTAAAAGATCTGGAAATCCCTTTACTTTAATAAATACAAAACCGGCATCCCTTGTTAAAACGAAATTGCAATTACCTAACTTTTTGTCCGCCAATAAAATGAACTTTGGAACTTCACGGTTGACGCGCACTGCACCCATTCTATTATTGACTGGTCAATAATTGTTTCATTGTGGACCGGTTGCCCCCTCGCCAATGACGTGACGTTTTGTGGACCGGCACGCGATACGGTTTTGACCAAACAGAAAAATTGAACTTTAACACTATTGTCTAACTATATAACAATACAGTTTTCATAATGGAAACACCGCTTTTAATTTTATTTTATAACTCCGCTCCTGAGTTGAACGAATTTGTCTTTCAGGACCATTTTTATTTGTATTTCTAGCACAAAACAGTCATATATTCCTTCGTTTAGCTCAAAATAAGTGGTACAATGTTTAGTCGTTGGTGTATTCTAAGAAAATGAGCGAGGTTTTTGCCCGAAAAAGATTGCGAATAACGACAAACACAAATGGCGGATAATAGCTTCCGGCGGTTCACGAATACTCGACTCGGAACTCAACATCATTATCCTATATACGTCATTGTGTTACTATCTATCTATCTTACAAACCCGATGGCATAAAGGATTTTGCTTCGCAAATCCTAAAAAATCACTCTTTAATAAATCACTTCGCTGCACTTAACTCTGAGTTTCTAACTTATCTCAATCCATTTTTTAATTTTCCTACAAAATGTGTGCCTATATCTTGTCATTAGCCTGCGAACAGGCTCTCAAGCTGAATTCAGAGCCTGCATCGATGACTAATGAATTTGAATATCTGCGTCCCAAATCGTGACGCGAAATTCTCATTGGTCAGATGCTATAATTTATATGTTTCCGCTGAGCTCTATATATGTCAACTGCTGAAGCACGATGCATAAAAAACACATTAACTGATCAAATTGGTCTTGACCATCTTATCTCAAAGCACGAATTGTTCTGTTTTGAGAAAACAGTATTTAAAACATTTAAACTTTTGCTTGAATATCTTATATTTCGAAAAACAGTATAAACTGTACGGTCTAAATTTAGTTTGCACGGTCTAAATTTAGTTTGCACGGTCTAAATTTAGTTTCCACGAAAGTTGTAAACAACACCATATAAGGATAGACATTCCGTATGTGGAAAAACGAACGTTACGGGGCAGATATTCAAATTCATTAGTCATCGATGCAGGCTCTCAATTCAGCTTGAGAGCCTGTTCGCAAGCTATCTTGTCATGGGTGTGTTAGTCTGAGAACACTGGCATATTCTTCACCACACGCATTCTTGAATGTTCTTCCAATAAGAAACAAATTTAGGAAAATACATCTGAATACGCAGACTTTGCGTAAGTATATATAAACCCTAAATTAAACTCTTTGCACTCTCAGTTTTGTTATATAACTACAAGAGAGTTCCTCCCATGTGCTTGTAATTTGACGTGTGAATTACTGTTTGCGAATGTCCTGGTATGGTATCAGGGTTTCTGTATATATTGCTACTGTATCATTAATATTCTCATTCATTGCATTTAGTACATTATTGTAAATAACCTGATCGCATCCTACATCAACAGCACAATGAAGTTTTCTTATTTTTCTCATGGTTGGAAAGATTCACCCCTCCAGGAGCAAGATTCTTCATTTGTCTATCCAACTTTTGCTCTAATTCAAAATGTCTTTTCACAGAGGAGCTAAAAGCTAAGTCAACGTTGGTATTGTCTTTGGCACTTGTTTCAAAGTAAGGTAGTTGACCATTCATTTGACACCATGACTTGGCATCATCCTCGTGCACTACTCTCTCTTCCTCCATGTCAACTTTATTGCCAAGCACAAGGAAAGGGAAGTTCTCTGGGTCCTTTACGTCAGCATAATAAAGAAATTCTTTCTTCCATTGTACAAGATTCTCAAGGCTCTGTTTATCATTAACAGCAAATACAAGCAAACAAATGTCTGAGCCTCGATAAAATGGTGTGCGCAAACTTTTGAATCGTTCTTGTCCAGCAGTGTCCCAAATTTGAAGTGTAAACGTTCCTAAAATATTTTAAATTAAAGAAAGATCGAGTTGGTTAGTTGAAAACAGGAGAGACGTTTGAAATACTTATTTGTATCTGAAATTTATTACACTGTGCTACGTACATGTACTGTAATCTAATAATATATGTAAAATATTCCAAACCTAAATTTGTCAGAAATATAAGAAATAATTTTGTATTCTTATAAAACGAAAAGTATTCTTGATAAGGGTGGGCTCATATACATTAGATCTCATTTGCGCTCAGCTGCTGGTCAGACACTTGCTCAATCCCATCCCTCTTCCCCTTTGGGAATATTCATAGGTTCTTTTCATCATATGCCTGTTCCATTAGTCGTATAATTAACAGATCAGTTATGGAGTCAGGACTTATGGTTCAGGCCGAATCCAGAGTGTTTATTTGAATTTATGGCCACTTTATTGCAGGATAAAATTTTAAAATGTTGGGGGTACCGGTATCTGTCAATACGTAGTCGTAAATTCCTGTGCTTTTGGGACCTTCTTTGCCCATTTGAGCAAGGATTAAACCTAATTCCCTTGTTTATTACCTTCTGATCTTGGGAACCATCCTGCACAAGTTCTTCATTGGGTTGAATTTAGGACTTTTTAATGACTTTAATGTCAACCTGGATTGCTGCTGATTTTTGGTTTTCAAAAGTTTTCCTTGTCATTGGGTGACAACGGACAATACAAATGCTTGGACACAATTTTATACGATGATAACACGCTGTCATGCTGTCAATGTGCCGATTAAAATGAGGAACCAAAAATCGTGCAAAACAAGCCTTGATGTGCCAGCAAAACAATCTAAACTCAACCCGATGGAGAATCTATGAATGGTTTTTATTCTCTTGCTTTAATTACACTGGCCGCAGCCAGTGTCATAATTTGCCCTCGCTGGAATGCGAGGAATTTTTTCGTTTTTTTTTTGTTGTCGCAAGTGTGACTTTCCATTGCGGCATCGTGGGCTCAGGATTGCGCAATTTAGCCCCTGAGCTATAATAATATTACTGTAATATTATAGCTCAGTGAATTTAGCTATCACATTTAATACACATGCAGACATGCTCACTATGATTTATAAACCAATTCCTATATTTTGAGAAGAAAGCGACACCGTACGATTCAGCGTATAAAGAAATTGTACTTACGGATGTCAAGTGTATTACTGAACACCAGTATTCTAGCGATTTATGGCCTTTGAAAATCAAGCGAAATTGTATTGACAAATCGCTCGCAGTATGTATTGTTATTTATAACAAATCACTCGCACTACGTTTGTCTTTGTATTTGTAATGTCTAATGGCGCAATAAGGATAAAAATACCACCGTTCGATTCAGCATAAGAAATTGTACTTACGGATGTCAAATGTATTACTATTTATATACTATTGAAATTTAATACAACGAAATATAGCATTCTACGTCGATAATTTCAATCATAGTTTAATAATTATTTTCAATCTATAGTAATTCACCGTTTCCAGGGGTTTTATAAAGCTACAATAAAGCTAATTTAATAAAGCTACAATAAAGCTAAATTTGTAGGAAATAACATTTTTTTAGTTATAAAATAGTATAAAAGAAAATCTAACATCAATCGCTTTCGATACAAACTTGACCTGCCTTGACCTTGTTTATATTACCGTCGTTGGCAACTAACGATGAACAGTCGCTCATAAAAACATTGCTTATTCGCATGAGAATCTTAAGTTTTCTTATTTTGACATAATAGCTATTTTTCAAACAATATATTGATCTTAAACTTATTGAATCAATATTTTAAGTTTCAGATCAGTTGTACCAAAAGTTATAAGCGGTCGCGCATCATTACCAGGGCACAGGGTCGGTCATACAGAAGCCCAATTTATTGGTTTTTCTTATGGTTTTCCAATGATTTTGGCGTGACCGTAATTCATCATCAAAATGCTGACATCATGGTCCTGGCTGGTGCGCTTTTGGGAGGCATTTACCCCCCTGATAATATTCAAAATGATAGACGTCCAGCGGGAGGGGGGGGGGTGCCTCTTTGGTGCGCACTGGTTGGGACGTGGCAGCGTTTACTCTAATTACAGTCTTTCAAAACATGGTTTGGAAACACCGCTAAAGTCTTTGTTCTATCTTTTTGTTTTGCATTTATGCAGT